AAAAAAAACATCTAGAGATGTTTTAAAACACCTCCTGCTGATTAATTGATCTTTTGATTCATTTGATTGAGCATTTTAATATTCTAAAATTCTGTCATTTTTCACTCTCTGGCTCTCTCATGTTGTTTATCTTTGATCTGGATATCTTATTTCAAAGATTCAGCTGTGTTTGCTAGCAGCAGGTCTCAGCCTTCACTAGAAAGGACTCAAGCTGGCCCAATACTGTGTGTATTTAAACCCCGGGTCCGCCTTGGACATTCCGGAGGCTGCATCCTGTTCTAACGCAACTCCCTGAGTTCTTTACTGAGCAGTCTATCCTGATTACAAACCATGAGCCAGGCTCTGTGCTGGGAACTCAGGATCAGCAGATAAAATAGGAGCATCTGCCTTCTACAAGTGTCCTTCTAGATCAAACTGGATCAAACCAATACATTAACAGGTAATTGACAGTCTGGTGCAGTCGGTAGGGGCAGAGGGCAGGGAGCCAGATGTTGGAGCCCATGCAGGAGCACAGATATGGATCTGGGGATAAGAGAAAGCCTCCCGGTGGGGACAGCTGGCCGTAGTGGAAAGCTTCATGGTGCCCGGCTAGGTGGCCAAGATGGCGGACAGTGGGCAGGAGGGCTGTCTGCAGGTGGGCATAGGGGGGAACTTTGGTGAAAGTCAGGACCCAAATGCAAAGGAGCAGATGGGAATTAAATCACCAGTGGCTTTTTATACCATGTTATTGAGTTGTTTCTTTATCCCCCTAGAAATGGGCCAGAATCCAAGCATCTGTTATTCAATAGAAGACTGAGAATATTAGGGATGCACAAATGTGGAGAAGGCTAGTCTGACAGTCATCCCATATATCAAGTTTCAGCAAATATAACTCAGGCCAGCCCATTCAATGGGGCCAGTGGCAGGGGCCAGGGAAGCAGAATCTGCCTCCTGTCTCCACATCCAGGCCAAGAGACCCAGCTCAGAAGAGGTTGGAGTAGGTGGGTCCTCACAGGCATTGAAGCCAGGGCAGGGTGTACAGGACGGTTTCCACAGAGCTCTTCCGCAGTGTGCCTGGTGAGCCCCGCAGCTGTCACAGAAGCCACTGTGTGCTCTCGATCCCGTTGCCCCACACCTTTTGCCAAGATGCATGGACAGCCAGGGAAGTCCATTACCATCTGCT